AACGGCAAGGGGGGGGTCGTACCCGCCCCCCCCCCCTCGGCCGGCGCGTATGTAGAAAACCAATAGGTCCGGCGAGGGTTAAGCCAGCCTGCCTCGTCACCCCCCACTACAAACACTTAAACGGTCCTTACATAACATTCGTATAAATATTAGGACTGTATGGTATAACATTAACCCGCGCCCTGCTGGGGGGTGTTTGAACACCCCCCCCTTGTGGTTTTTCGCAAATATCTCAAAAACGGCGGCGCGGAGCTTTTGGTACACCTTATCATACATCAATTCTACACATGTTGTGAAAATTTCAGACCAAGGTCATTCAAGGTCAGGTCACCAGGTCACTTGAAGTGACCTCACCTCATAAAAAGTTTCAATGTCTGTCATAGCTACACCGAGTGACCGATCGCTTTGAAACTTTCAGCGATTGCTAAGAGCAATAGCATGTACAAAATGTATATCTCAGAATGTTGATATCGATGACCTAAGGTCAGGTCAATTTTGCGACCTCCCCATTATAAGTCAATGGGAGAAAATTGAAATGCGCCTCTTTTGGACGAAAGACATTATAAACACTCCCAAACACTAAATTACAAGTGTTTTAGACACACTGAACATGAAAATAGTGTCCGTGACCCCTGTCTATGCCCTGAGGTGATCTTAGGTCACGAATGGTATCTAACAGTTTTTCGCAAATAACTTTTGATAGAGGCATGCTAGAGCGATGAAAATGCCGTAGATGTGTTCAGCTTGATGATACGGATCGACTGATATGCAACATGACCCTTTCCGGTCAGGTCATGACCTTGACCTCAGGTCAAATTTTCAAGTTGACCTTTAAAGGTCAAGTTATAGTTCATTCGATGCGTCTCGACGAGAGGAATACGATGCCGGTAAAAGTAAGCTCGTACAAGGCTTGGGTCAAAAGTTATTGCAGACAACTGTTTCCGAAAAAATCGGCTATTTTTGCAGTTTTTGCCCCTGCAGGCAAAACCGTTGACGTTGGGTCAAATCTGAGAGAATTACTCAGAAAGGGCGTTAATAGGGCTATCGAATGCGCTTTTCCGCGGCGCTGTAGTTCTATTGGTTCCCGAGTTATGCGTTGTCTTCTTGGAAATTGTCGACATTCGACCTGGAAATCGGCGAAATTTTGCCTTCAATGACCTCTGGTGACCTGACCTTTGACCTGACCAGAAAATTGTTCGAAGTGATTTCGTCATCATTTTTGACGCTCTTTCGAACGCCGCCTTCCGCGTATCGCTACGTGGCCCAGGAGCCGAGTTAGAAGGGGGGGGGGGGTATTCAAACACCCCCCCCAGCAGGGCGTGGAAATCCAGGACCCCCAGCCTGGCGCAGGTTAACGGTGCAACATATCTCACTTTTTAGCTGAAAACCCTTAAAATATCATTTTTGCTCTATAACTTTAACAATATACAATTTTTGTTAGCCTTAACTTTTTTGCTGGCGTTACCTCCTCAGCTGCCACGCTGAAAGGACAAACGGTTGAGCATTTTATTGTGAATAATTTAGCCGGAAACGGGGTGGCCGGGCTTCCCCCGCGCCCGGGCTTCCCCGGCTTCCGGTACACCACCTGGCGAGGATCTTGCTGACATAGAGATACGTTTCTAGACCAGTAGATGGCCCTAGCGCTGAACGCCGACAGATGTCGTGCTCTCAGTCGAACCACATTGGGCTGAACCCGCGCCGACACACAATGATAGGGAAAGACCGGAAAAATGAAAGGGCTAACAGAATGAGGTACAGGAAAGCAGCTTCAGTCACATTCATAGTGTTAGCTTCATTAATCCGCGCTTGAGGAAATTGGACGTTTTTAGGTCAAACTTGCAAGTTTTTTTTGCCCGTATAAGCGCCGCAAAACTTGGCATAGCTTATCATACATCAATTTCTCATCGTGTGTGAAATTGTGGAACCCCGGTCTCAGAAGTTTAGTTCACCCAGTTCAGGTAGGTATGTCCTAGATGCTCGAAACTCGGGTTATTGCATGAGCTATCAGCATGAGCTACACTGTATAGTACCGGACTATCGCATCAGAAGGCACAAAAGAATATGCTTTATAGAACACTTTCTTTGCAATTTTGTCACCGCTTCAGGGCTACAGTAGATGCCCGAGTCCTTTGAAAGTTGCAGTGCTTGATGTAATAAGGCCATTGGTAGCTACAACTTGTATGCCTCAGAATCTTATCAGTTCATCCGGACTTATGTCCCCCAAGAAATCGTTCGGGTCGGAGCTTTCGAATTGTATCACAAAACGTCAGCGTGTCGTAATCGAGTTCGTGTGTATCGGTCGCAAAATTGAGCACGTTTTGCGACCGATTGGATTCCCCGTGGCCGTGATGAGGTACATCGAAATAGATAACCTTTTATGCAAAAGTCTCAACTTCGAAATTTGACCTTTTTTACCAGACCTTGACCTAACCTCTACCAGAAAGTAGGTAACCTAAACCGTTCCTCATGGTCGTCTAACCAAAACCATTGCGTTGGAAATAAAAAATTGGTCACAAAACATGCATCACACGGCCCTAGTTAAGTTTGGTTCATGTGTTGACCCTTGGTGACCTGACCTCTGTGACCTGACCTGGTATCAGTGACGTCTTTTAGCAACATCTGTACTAGGCAACCGACGCTTTGTTGATAATTTTCGATAAATGCCTTTTAATCAATGTTATAACGCATTTTCTAGAAGGCCCGTGAACGGTGAAACATTTTAACTTTGACCTGACCTGTGACATCATCAGTGACCCTGTGGTCAATGAAATTAATTTTCTCAAGGCAACAGGGCTATCGAACGCCGTTTGAGTTTTGCTAATCCGTCCAATAGTTTCGGAGATACGGGGGGGGGGGGCAAAAATAGCCCCCACCAGTGTGAGGCTTAAGGTTATGTGATTCGAGGTCAACCTTTGACCTTGACCTTTCGAAGTCAACACATATGTATATGCTACGAGGCGAAATTACGAGAGGACACGATGCTGCTAATTGCTATTATGCAGTTTTTGCCGAGCTTTAGGTATTACTTCAAAAGTGATACGTGAAAAACTATCTCTAGAGACCCTATTTTGACTGAAATGCAATCAATTATACATCATTTTGTTGCCAATTCGTTGAGAAACACGGTCATTAAGGTTTCATGTCGCTATCTTTCATAGATTCGCCAATATTGGCGAAGTAATTTGGATAATTGCAGCTTTCCCTGAAATTTGATCTTTGACCTGCCATAACTGGGTCAAATATTGAATTAGGGTAAAAAATATACAACCAATCGCGAGTAGGTACTCGTTGAGAGCAATCGACTGCTCTTTGTTGCGAACGACGCTTAGTTTCGAAACGCCGGGGGAGGGGTACCTATAAAAAATGCCCAGGACGAGGGTTTTGACATAACAATAACAGTCGAACTGATATTTGGTCTCACGTCACTAAGGGTCTATGTCTCCATGGAATTTGTAGGTATTGCTGGTTATTTTCATTATTTATGTTCAGTACCGACTGCCCAGGTCAGGTCAAATACCTATTGTCAAAATATACCTGTTCGCTGTTCGTAATACCACTCACACAAACTGACTTCTTTCAAAGTTGTCAGTTTCTCACAAGCTCTTCCCGGCGTATTCCCGATCAAGAGTGAGAGGCGCGCGATAGGAGACGCCTGGCTGGGCGCCGCTCATGGATAGACCGTGGGATGAGTCTCCGACCCGTCTGGTCACGGCGAAACTTAGCAGGGAGGGTTCAGAGCACCTCGACGGCGGCCGCACGCCAGCGGAGCGCCGTAACTAATGGGTGTGACACTGTGTCAACAAGCTCCGCTGAGTGACGAGCCGAGGGGACCGTCGAAACGCGCGGGCCATACAGCCAGAGACATCTCTCGGCGATTTTATGAACTAGCTGTGCAATGACTTTCAAATGAATAGAACTGCATAGTGATGCATGCAATGATGATTCACTCTACAGGATTGTGTAGAGAATCGATGTCTTTATGATTCCTAGCAGCCACATTTTTTAAATTGTTGTCATGGCTTTCATGCAATGCACTGCAAGATGAAAATTGTATCATGCAAAACCTAGTACCTACTAAATTTGAAAAAAAGGCTTGCTAGGAATTGTTTTCCTTGACGTCTTCAGTCCAAAACTGCAAACATCACAGTCGTACGACAATCCGTTATTGAGTTCTATTCGTTTGAAATTTTGATTTTGCAATATGTTTGTCTCAATTGCTCAGTATATGTGGATTGCAGAACAACGGTAACCACTCTGTGATGGCGAGGTTAACGTCCTTCATAACATATCCAAAAACGAAGGCAATCGAAGCAACGATCACGATGCTCAAGATATTTACGAAAAACGTTTCTCATAGCGTTACGCGTGAAACGCACCCTTAACTTTGTGGCTACTTTTCGACCCGTCATTTGCTCACGAGTCCTTTCCGGTGTATTCTCGATCAAGGCTTAAGGCCGCCCCACACTGGACCTCGCATGCGAGTTGCGAGTTTGCGGGTCTTGAGTTTGCGGGCGGCATAATACTAATTAGAGTGGTTAGATCGTTCCCTTAGTAAGTTCATGAATGCAGTGAAGCCGGTACACCTTCAGAAAATTACATTAAGTCGCAATACCAGCGCAACGAACCAAAATTCGGCTCCAACGAAAAACCCGCAAACCTCGCAGAACTCGCAGACCTCGCAGCGAGGAAAATCGAAAGTTGACTCAAAATCAACTTTTGGACTGCGATGCAAGGTGGCTCGCAAGTTAAAAACATGCAGACTCGCTTGTTAGATGGTAGTGTGGGTCACTCAGCTTAAATTGTATTATTCAATTTTGAAGAAACCCGAAAACCCAAAAACTCGCAACCGGCATGCGAGGTCCAGTGTGAGGCGGCCTTTAGAGGCGCGCGAAAGGGGACGGCTGGGTGGGGGCCGCTGATGAAGAGAGCGTGTGGGACGAGTCTCCGACCGGTCTGGTCACTCCTACGGCCATCAGCCAATCTCCTACGGCCCAACAACAAACAGGACAAGGCATGTATTCTTTTCAAGAGTCATCCAATAAATAAGTAGTGCAACAGCAGGTCAGGACTAGTATCACATTGATCGGCGGCTCGCAGTCAGCTGGGCCGCAGTCGCTTGGCGCTCTCGCTAGAGCACATGTACATGATCTGCGGCATGAAGGTGAGCAGATCGGTGAGCCGCACCAGCCCAACGGTTCTGTCGGCCGGCACCTGCCCGCCAGCCAGGTTCAGAGTCACCAGGTGCTCCCTGCAACGCACATGGACGGGGTCAGGGCCACTAACGTACATAGACGCAATATGGGTCCAACTCACGATTTAGCACGCCACAAATCCCAGCTGTTGCTGACTAGCAGCTCAAGGGTCAAATCATGATATAATATAGATATAGCATCTCAGATGGGTTTTCGATAATCTTTAGTTTACCATAAAACGTGTGACAGATGTAGTGATGATGAAATAGGTTACAGACAAAAGTACGTATCGCTTCAGTACGTAGGACCTAAGTACGTAAGCAAAAGTACGTAGGACAAAAGTAAGTATCGCAAATGTTCGTACCGTAGTTTCGTGCAACTTTGACCCACTTTTTTGGTTAAGCCTCAATAACTCAGCTATCTGTTTAGGTACAGCCCTCTGCAAACTGCGTGGTAGGTATTCTTTTTTTTTCGACAAAACCGAGAATAACGCGAATACTATGCTATCGGTCACTCAAAATCGCAACAGCAAGACGTGCGAGACTCCGCACCTAAGATTGGCATTATCATCGTGTTCATTTTCCGTCAAGTTTGGCAACAAAACCCAAAAGTTTATATTTGTCCCCAAACAAACTTTTGCATTTTGCTGCCACGCAAGGCCTATACTTGTTTAGTGATGGACCCATTCGAAGGAGTGGAGCATGGCGCATCTATTTGCAGTGAGTTCCGCCCGACTGATAACATAGCCTTTGAGCTATTATCGGTTTTGTCGAAAAAAGAATACCTTCCACGCAGTCTGCCGAGGGCTGTACAATGTTAAGCAGCAGGGCCTACAAAGAGGCGACCAGTGGCGTATTCAGGGGGGGGGGGGGCATGGGGGCCATGGCCCCCTTTCCGCCCAGCCGCCCAGATGGCGCCCCAATTAGCGCCGACTAGGCTGATGCCGTTTTACAGAGGGAACATGAATTAAAGAGTGATGTGAAGGCAGGGATCAAACTTACTATCTCTTTCGGGGTGCCTGGACACCCGAATGTTCTCCAGGACACCCCCAACTAGGACCTGAGCCACCAATTATGAAGGGCGCCCCTCCGGAAACCAGAATATTCCGAACCCCCAGGGTCGATGGCGCCCCTGAAGAGCCGCTGGCACCCAGCTGAACGGAACAGTCGCCCCTTTAACCCGCGCGGGGCTGGGGGGTAAATTTTACCCCTCCCTCGCGAATTTTTGCAATATCTCAAAAACGGCGGCGCGCAGCGCCGCCAAACTTTCAGTACCTTTTCTTACATCAATTTGACACGTTCCCTGAAAATTTGAGCGAAATCCGTCGGATATTTTTTGAGAAATTGACGTTTTAGTGACGTCCTGTTCGCCATTTTCGCCTCAAAAGCGGCAAAAGTTCAAACGCCGCTAACATCTTCATTTTTAAAGGAATCAAGACGTAACAAAAAAGGATATACGTAAATCTACTTTTTCTATAAAATGGCTATCTCGGTTTTTTGAAAATTTTGGATTTTGGCCCACATTTTTTCAAAAAACTGACTTTTTTGGGAAAATGATTATAGAATCCAAAATTTTGAGTGTATCGAAAAAACCGGAATATATGTCAGGGAAGTGGTCTATGTGCATCTACATACCAAGTTTTAGAAGAATCGGTTCAAAAATGTGGGAGTTATTCAAAATTTTATGACGTCACGACACACAAAAATTTTGAAAAATGATTTTTTTGGAAGTTCTAGACCTCGTACGGAAACAAAAATAGCACCATTCGATTCGCCGTGAAAAACTGCATCAGGTAGACACCCTTTTAGGCCTTAACAACCAATTTCAAAATTTGACCTCACTTGACCTGACCTTGACCTGACCTCGACCTGAAATTCATCCAGAGGTGGTCCATATCACTTATTGAGTGTGCCTATTGAATTCTATTAGTAAAATGACACATAAAACATGTGTCGCACATGCCCTTTTCTACATTTTGTTTTTGGTGACCTGACCTGACCTGACCTTGACCTTGACCTCTGAATGATAGTGTATGCAACGAATATTGTCTTGGTAGCCTAAGAACACGTTTTGGGCGATCAGTCTCAGTCCATGACTCCATTCTTCGGCAACTACGGTGCAAGGCCGATACTGTAGGAACTTGCAATTTGTACCCTTGACCTGACCTTGACCTTGACCTCAAACTTAAAATTAAGTACATGTTTTTAGTTGTTCGTGATGAGATCTTTCGATTGGCGTTTGAATTTTCCAAATCGGACCATTAGTTCGGGAGATAACAGGGGGGGGGGGTAAAATTTACACCCCCCCCCCCCAGCCCCGCGCGTTCGGCTGGAGACCCCAGCCCCGCGCGGGTTAAAGGTTGATGGCGCCCCTTTAAGCACCCGGCGCCCCTCTGAAGTTCACAGCTGCCCCAATCGGCCCCATTCAAGATCGATGGCGCCCCCTGAAACCACTGGCGCCCCTCTAACACGCGCAGTGGAAGGGTTGCGAGTACTACGCCCAGTGGAAGGGGGGGGGGGCGGATGTCGCCCCCCCCTAAGATCTCAGCTCCCACTGGAGCTAGAAAAACGAAATTTGGAGGGTAGGTGGGGGCCATGGGGAACTCTGTTGTGTGTGAGTTTCATGACCCTAGGTCAATATCTTCAAGGTCAAATGAGGTCAAATGTGGTCAAATCTGCCATATTTGCGACTTTTTTGCGTTTACACGCAGATAACTCAAAAAGTTACCGGCCGATTTTCTTTTTTCTTTCACTATACGAAAGACCAAACATTTGTGAGTATGTATGGTGAATTTCTAGTTAATCCAACAATAAATATGGCAGTTAGAAGCCTGGTAAGGGTAAGATGTCGCCGGCTGAAGCGGGATCGGCCGACGCGGGAAACACGGCATTCACAATTTTGTGTTTACACACTCATAACTCAAGTTGTTACCGGCCGATTTTCAAAATTCTTTGACCATATGATTGCCTGTACATTTCTCAGTCTTCTCACCAAATTTGACGAGAATCTAATCTAATCAGCGGTAAGGAGCGCGATGTAAAGACGGAACCGTCCCGCCCCGGCACAGTCTACAATTCAGGCGGCGCGTAACGGCTAGCGCCGGCCGCCGCGCCGCCGCCGCGGCAGGATGTTTGACTTTACACCGCTATTTCTAGAAAAGTTGTGAACCGATTTTCTTATTTCTGGCACGGTAAGATCCGCAATTCAATTCTGGACAGGTAGCCAAAATTTCACATTAATATTATGTTTGCGGCGCGAGTTATTGGCGAAAAACAAGAGGGGTGGGCGAAATCCGCCCCCCTTCCACTGCGCGTGCTAAGGCACCCGCATTCTTCTCAAGATCACAGTCGCCCTATCCGAGATAAATAGCGCCCTCAAGAGCCACTAGCGCCCCCCCCCTTGAGGCTGAAGTTGTTCCAATTGAGACTTGAGTCGCCATTCAAGCCCAACGACGCCCCTTCAGAGCGTCCGGCGCGCTTCTGAAGATCACAGTCGTCCTCATCCGAGATCGCTGGCGCCCCTCAAAAGTCACTGGCGCCCATCTAAACGGAGATTACAGCTGCCTCATCTTAACCCTCGCCCGTATTGGTGTTTTTTCAGCCGCGAACGTATGGGGGGGGGGGGGTCCGTTGGAACCCCCTCGCCGTTTCGCCCATGATCGAGCTAGAGCTTCGCGGAAAAAATGAGCGTGTTGCCCGTGACGAGAGGAAGCCGATGGTACCCAATTTTAAGGTCCTAGGTCATCGGTTGACCTTCCAGGTCAGGTCAATGACCCAAAAGTCGGGAAAATCGGGACCTGTTAGAAAGTCGTAAAGCGTGGCTGCTAAGGGGTTTTTCGGGGTGCTGATCACGAATATCATGTTAGTGTTGATCACAGATGATGTCTTCGTTCATTTAGGCCAGGTCGGGTCAGGTCAGGTCAGGTCAACCAGTAAGGGCATTCGCAGTAGGTGGCAACCGCCTCTGACAGCTTCGTAACATGTTACGAAGGCACCAAAACTACTTCGTAAATGTTCATATGGTTGCTAAATTAATTCGAATTCAGCTCCTAAAACTGGCCTAGCAACATGTAAAACTCGAAAAAGTGAATCGAGGTCATCAAAGGTCAATGGCCTGACCTGACCTTCCGTTGACCTTGACACCCACCCTAATGCATGGGAGCAACATCATATCCTATGTTTGAACGCTTAAAACCACGAAAAGACTGCAAAGCGCCGCTAATGCGAGCCGACATACGCCGAATTGCGATTCCGGCCAAACATGGTCTCGAAAAGTAGGTCACAGGTCAAAGGTCATTAAGGTCAGGGTCATGAAAATTTCAGGGTAGGTGTAAAATTGATAAACGCGAGGGTACTGAAAGTTTCGTTGCGATCGGCCGCTTTTTACGCGAGTTATTCGCGAAAAACCGAGGGGGGGGGGGTCCGTTCGACCCCCCCCCCCCTATACGGGCGAGGGTTAAGATCGATGGCAACCCTCTGAAACCAATGGCACCCTTCTTAGAGTACCCGGCACCCCTCTGAAAATCACATTCGCCCCATCCGAGACAACGCCCCTTGACACTACAGTCGCCCCACCCAAGCTCAAAGCGCCCCTCCAGAGCGTGGGGCCACAGCTGCTGAAGGCAACAGTGGCCCCATCCATGCCAAATGGTGCATTCAACACAGTCTAAAGATCACAGTCGCCCCCATCAATCAGAGATCGCTGGCGCCCCTCAAGAGCCACTGGCGCCTACCTGAACCGGGACTTCAGTCGACCCATCCTAGATTAATGGCGACCCTATGAAACCACTGGCGCCCCTCTGAAAATCCCAATCGGACCATCCGAGATCAATGGCGCCCCGCCCCATTCAAGATCGATAGCGCCCCCCCCCCCCCTCTCCTGAAACCACTGACGCTAGGTAATTATTTGACAATGGGGCTTTCTCATCGACACCAAGGGCCTTTTTCAAGATGCAGTAGCCAGGCGGCGCCGAGCTGGGCTAGGATGTGCCAAGCGTTTCTTATAAGGCAACCTCGTTAGTGCCACCCCTCGTTGCAATACCGCCCCTCAATTTGCG